GGAGACAGAGACAGAGACCCACATTGGAGCACCGGACATAAATCTCAAGGTCCAAATCAGGAGCAGAAGGAGAGAGAGAGCAAGGAACTCAGGACCGCAAGGGGTGCACCCACACACTGAGACAATGGGGAGGTTCTATTGGGAGCTCACCAAGGCCAGCTGGCCTGGGACTGAAAAAGCCTGGGATAAAACCGGACTCTCTGAATATAGCGGACAATGGGGACTACTGAGAACTCAAGAACAATGGCAATGGGTTTCTGATCCTACTGCATGTACTGGCTTTGTGGGAGCCTAGGCAGTTTGGATGCTCAACTTACTAGACCTGGATGGAGGTGAGGGTTCCTTGGACTTCCCATAGGACAGGGAACCCTGATTGCTCTTCGGGCTGATGGGGGGGGGACCTAATTGGGGGAGGGGGAGGGGGAGGGAAATGGGAGGCGGTGGGAGGGAAGAGACAGAAATCTTTAATAAATAAATAAATAAAAAAAATAAAAAATAAAAAAAATAAATAAGTAAAAGTTCAAGAAAAAAAAAGAACCTGGACAAGAGTTCAGATGTCACTGGCATTGCACTTTGGTATTTCTGGCCTTGTGTATTGGGGAGTTCTTTTCAGAGACGTCTTAGAAGTAACTGGGATCTTGATTCACCAAGCAGAAAAAGAATTAAAGGATATGCAGAATTAAATAAAGTTGGGACTTACTAAGAAAAGGACAGTAGTGGATGTTAGTGTTTAATTCTTAAGAGAGAGTCACAGCTGAGTATGGCATTGTATGCCTGTACTCCAGATTCATTAGAAGCTAAAACTGAAGTAGGAGTTCAAGTCCATCTTAAGTAATGTTCCAAAATGATGTGGGATTCCTCTCTGTATGCTGTGATTACCATTAATGAATAAAGAAACTGCTTTGGACCTGTAGAATGCTGGGAGAAAGGAAGCTGAGCCAGAGAGAAGCCATGTAGCCCCGTTGGAAATAGACACTGGAACATTAGCCGGCAAGCCATAGCCATATGGTGATACACAGATTAATAAAAATGACTTAAATTAATATGTAAGAGTTAGCCAATAAGAAGCTTGAGCTAATGGGCCAGGCAGTGATTTAATTAATAGAGTTTCTGTGTGATTATTTCGGGGCTATGTAACTGGGAACTAACTTGCAGCCTCCTTACTACACCAAAATACTTTCTAAAAATAAAAGTGAAGCCCATGGTTGAAGATGAAACCCAGAGATAAAACACTGACTTACCATATGTAAGACCCAGGATCCATGCCCAAATAATGAAAGGGTGATGAGGTTTAATGTTCTACTGGAAACTACATATGTAATTTTTGTAGCCTTTGAAATGATTAAAGTGGACAATCTATTCCTACATTTATGTGATTATATAAAAAACTTTTCATATATTTCTTTTCTTTTATTTTTGGTTTTTTGAGACATGGTTTCTCTGTTTAATGGCCCTGAATTTCCTGGAACTAACTCTTGTAGACCAGGCTCACAGAGATCTGCCTGCCTCTGCCTCCCAAATGCTTGGATTAAAGGTGTGCACTACCACCACCTGCTTCCATATTTATTTCCTTCCAAAAGTTTTTTGTTTGTAAAACAGATTGTGAGGCAATTTGTGCAATGCTTTGTCTAGTTTTGAACAGAGACAAAACCAGGTGAGAAGTGTCATACAAATGAGTTGTTGGCCTAAAGGGTCCCATGGAGATGCTCAAACAGCCCAGGACTATGGATATTGGCCAGAACTATCTCTGAGACTTGAGGTATTCAGAATATGGTACCAATATATTGTTAGTACAGGGTTTATAAGTATAAAACAAACAAAAATGAAAACATACAAAATCACAACTTGTGGGGGATTGAATTACCTCACTAATTTTACAATAGATATCCTATAGATGCCTTGCTATTTCCCACAAGCAAAGAGGTTTTACAAAACAAAACTAGTGATTAACTCCCAGAATCCATTGTCTCACAAGAAGAATAGAGACTGTAAAATTTATGATGACAGGAAGTTACCAAACCTAGAGGTAGCACTCCACAAATTGACAGCAAGTCCTTATTGCTGAAGACAGCATCCATACAAGTCACTGAACATGGAAATCTTGATTTTTCATAGACATAGAACTTTTATCCCCATGTTCTAGTGTCTTTGATGTGGAATAACTACCAAAAAATAGCATAAACACCAATCTAACCATATAAACCTTTGATTCAGTCTGTCCTGACCAGAAAATATGCTAGGGCAATGACTGCACAAACCTTATAGTAGTAACTAACCCATGTCTGTTTTGGCTTAAGGTACTCCAATACTGAACCATACCTGACACTGCTTGACTCATCAAAAATCAGAGACTAGATATCCCAAAGACCTAGGGTGATACCAAATACTATTGTTCTAAAAATTCATCAGTAAAATGACTCCTAATCACATTCAGCTATATCCCTAGATGGTAATTTATTCAGCCTTCATCAGAGAAGTTTTCCAATGCAGTAGATGGGAACAAATACAAAGACTCATGGCCAGTCATAACACAGAGAGAAAGAGTACAAAGCTTAGAAAACACAGCTCTAAGTGGGATGTCTCCATCAAATCTAGCAAACTGCTACCACCAACAACTTAGGAATATACTGGGCTGTGAGAGTAACAACAGAATCCTAGGATCAGCAGCTCTTCTCCTTTACCCTCTGGCTGGATGGGAATCAGAGTAACAAGTGGATCTCACGGTTTTCAACAGCCAAGAATACACTCATGTATCATGACTATTTGAAACTATCTTCTAATTTTCTAAAGATGTAGAAATGGAGCTATAATTATGGAAAATGAGTAGGGAGATTTCCCAGGGAAACACAAAATAAAATAAGAACATAGGGGTAAAAATATGAGGGCCAACAAACACTTTTTTAATATTAACTATAAATATTCATGTTTTCAACTCTCTAAACCAAAGATACAGGTTAGTTGAATTGATTAAGAAACAAATCCCATCTTTCTGATGTATATAGATAAAGAAATAAGAAGGTATAATGCAAGCATGCAAAAATACTTTGAGTCTATGATAGTTATGGGTATGTGATGACAAAATTACTGTTTTCTGATGTGAAAGATTATCCATAATTTCTGCTTAGAGTTCATTAGAGTTCATTTTGTGGACATTTCAGTTATTATTGATGCATAACTGTGGTGAAATATATACACATAGAAACAACCTGTCAAGATCTACTTCAGAATATTACATAAGAGGAGAGTTATGTTGTCAAAGGTCAATTGAAATAGTGTAATAAATTTTTCAGTGACTAATTAATGAGTTCATTGACATGCTTCTCTTCTTGATGTTCAGTATTGTCTGTAATAAAGCATGCAACAAAAGAATGAGTCTTGTCTCTGTGTAGCAGATGGGACTCAGTGAATGAATACTGCTATGATGGTAGCATTCTAGTAGATTAGAACACTGAGATATCATAATATTCAACTTCATTTCAATAACTTTCCTACTTGAAGTAATCTGTGACTTTGGGTCACAGAAATTATTTCTGTAAACTAGAATCAGACAAACATTTTAATATACAAGTTTTGAAAGTTTTTGTCTCAGAGGCTGGAGTTTGGATTGTTGTAACCAGAATCAAACCTTACTTTCCCCTTCCTTGTCATGCTGTTCCATTATTGAGTATGTCTTCTGATTTTCTAACTATGTCACTGAATTGATAGGTTGACCAAGGATCTCTGGTCCAGACAGCTGCCATGTCCCTTGTGAGAACTAGACGATGTTGTACACTGGACCTGATCATGATGGTCTAACCAAGCTGAATAATACTAAACAATGGAAGGCAGACTTGTGCTAAGAATTATGCATGGCATCAGTCTGATGCCCACACTAGATGAAATTAAACATGAAAGGACAGGGTTGTGGAGAAGCATGTAGCCCAGCTGAGACTTCCTGAACACCTGGTCTTGCTGACAATTCTCAAACCACACTCACCTCACTTTGTCTTCACAAGACTTGAGTATACTCATGAATTCAACTTTGAAACATCTTCTATTAGTCAATCAGAGTTCCTCAGGAGTGCTAATTTTGGGGCCATTCCTAAGTTGACTTTTTACAAGGTTTATACTCACAATGACCATGTCCAGGCTCCAATCCTTCACAACTTTACTCATGCTCTATCCCTAAGCTGATTTGATATTCTTTTAATTTTTTGAAAACACATGCAACATTCTGATCACAGTTTCTCCTCCTTCATGCCCTCCCAGATCCTCCTTATCTCCACATCCATTCATCTCTAAGTGCTCCATCCCCCTTCTCCTCCCTTTCTTTAGAAAACAACTGGGATTCTAGGACAGTCTTGTTCTCTGTATGGTACCCAGATATTTAGTCATACTTGGAACCTTCAGCCCTGACGAATGGCAAATCTCAAAATCTAGTTCTGAAGTGGAAACATGTCAAAGTTTCTCATACTCAGCACTGAATGCCTCTGACAGCATTTGGGCTGGATATCATGTCTTGTTTCTTTTAGTTCATATAATTATCAAGGCTGACTACAACCATACTGCAACCTTCATGAACACCTCACATGCTCTATCTTTAGCTTGATTTTACTTCTTTGTACAGATTGTAATAAACTTTCAATTTCTTAATACTATCTATTCATTTTGACTTGAGTAATAGAAACTGAGATAGCATATAATAGAACTGCCCCAGACTCCAAATTATAATTTTAAGGAAGATGGTTAGGCACCAGTAGATTTTTAGAAATGGAGGTGACATAGGGTTAGGGCTATTAAAGAGTGAAATTAGGGAAATCTATTACACTCACACTGTAAAATTGCATGGTATGATCAAAGGTCCAGAAGAGAGGTGGGAAATTGTGTCTGCATGGAGCAGGTACTCCCTAGGGTGATTATGCAGGGTATCACCCCAGTTACAAACCAAGGGGTTCCAGGAAATTCCCACACTACTGTGAATACCAGTGAAATACACACTAAAACAAATGAGTACAGTAGAATTACAGGTTGAGAACAGATATTTTATTTTGCATTTCAGGAGCAGGGAGAAGGGCTATGATAGGCAAGAGCAGTATTTGTTCATTATTCTAATCCCAGTTTCTATGGGTAAGATGAATATTGGAAGGCTTAGGAACACATTGCAGGGGACAAACTCTTCTCCACTTTTGTACTTTCATGAGTGACCTCACAGATGACTTCGTTTTTAGATTTCCATGCATCTTCTGTCAAAGTCAAGAAGCTGGTAGCCAAGTACTTGTTGCCCTGTTTGGAAGGCTTACTTGTCTCCACACCCTGGGTGATAGTTGTACCATCTGCTTTCCAGGTCACTGCCAAATCACCAGGGTAAAAGTCACTGATCATACACACCAGTGTGGCCTTGCTGGTCTTGAGCTCCTCAGGAGAAGGTGGAAACAAGGTGACTGAAGGGTGAGATGTGGGCTGACCTGCAGGGTGAAGAAAGAAAAAGTCAGAAGAAATCTTGGTTTCCCAATAGAAATCCTAGAGGTAGTATTAGCATGTCCCAAGTTTAGTGACTGTATTTTAATGGAATACAGAAAGTGGGGTATATATTTCTTTCATATACTCCCTGTGTACCTAGGAATTATGTACTCCACATTTGTGCCACACTTCACTGGATTCTGACCTTCAACACAGACACCTAACCTTTATGTCCTGGCCCTTGTATCTTCTCTGCTTTTTATAGATGTCTACCATCCATCTGTCCCACTCTGAGGACAGTTATGACAGAAAACCTCTGCTCAGACTAAACTTTATAGTTAGGCATTTATTTTCATCCAAATCATGGCCCCTGGGTCTGTGATTTCTGCTCAGCAAAGTATCTATCTGCTTGAACTGTTTCTAATTCTGCAGAATGAGACAAGATTCCCCTTTCTGGATGTGGTGCTTTATTTTTATGCATCAGGACCAGATCTACATGAATACAGTTGCTCTGTTTTCTAAGCAGTGTCTTAGAGAGATCCAGGAACACAACTTCCCAGTCACACCTTCAGTCTCTCTTCTCTTGACTTCCTGTGTCCTGAGATCCCTTCCCTTTCTTGTTACTAAATTTCCTGAGTTCTAGATAGGTTACTGCTCTGTTCATTACTTTCCTGGAAGATTTGGAATCCTTTCTATCTCCTGCCTGTCTTATAAACTGGAACCCTCAGTTCTAATGGCTAGTTTATCTGAACTTTGACAAGTTATTTACCAGCCTCATTGTTGAGTGTCCTACAGTCGCCTAATTCACCTCTCTCTCTCTCTCTTTCTCTCTGCCTCTGTTCTTCCTTCTCAATAAGATAACAATTTACTTTACCACTCACAAATTTTACCAAAAAGATACACACTCATAGATAGTGGCACATGGAAGCACTTATCAGAGCAGTGGATACTGCAACAGAATGACAGACAGACCTTGAGAATTTATCTTTTTTGGTTCCCTGCCTACAAGATTAGACATGAAAGGTCACAGGGAACCATTTAAAGTGAGGCACAGAATCTAGAGAAGCAAGAGATTATGTACCTAGAGAGAAGCTGAAGCATGAAGTAGAATAGAGAATGAGAAATAGTCCAATGCAAAAATCATCTCAAACCTTGAAGATTACAGTAACAGAAGAAAAAAGGGTGACTTACCTAGGACGGTCAATTTGGTGCCTCCGCCGAACACCCAACACTGTGATATAGGCTCATGCAAAAACCCTACATGCACCTTACCCTACACTTTCAGCTGTGATGTATGTAGTCCTTGATGATTCTGGGTATGTGATGATCTTTCTGGAAGATCTTTCTTCCCAGGATCCCATTTGTCTTCTGAGATATACTTGCCAGAAAGTCATCCATAAAATTTCCACACCCTTTTAAAAAGAAGCTCTTTACAGGGTAAGAATTAATAGAGAGGATCCCTTGGTGACAGCTCAAGGAAGCAAGCATGAAATCTATGCAAAGTCTTGGGACCATTAACTCAGTCTCTGCACCTTCTGCCTGGCAAAGTATGAAGAGAGGGGTCTGAGGCCCTGCAGAATAAAACAGGTGGAGAACACACGTAACCATCGGCTTCATACACATCTCATCTTCCTTCATGTGGTGAAATCTTTACCAATAATACATTACTAAACACTGCAGGGTCATGTCATGTAGTCATTTAATGACAACTTGACTATTATATGACATGAAGAAATAATCAATAACTTCTTTTGAAGTTTGATATGATATCTGTACTTTCTCTTTGTAAACCCAGAAATATTATCATAGCTGACAAGATACAACTTCTGGAATGGGCTTTCTTAACATGATATAAGGGAGGAGTCTTATCAAAATCCAGGTGCAAGGATTGTTACAGGCTACTTGGTGGGAATGTGGGAACATTCCTATTTCTGAGTTTCCTAATTTTTGTGTTCAAATTTGTCAGTGAAATCTTGAAACAAAGGGATGAAGAAGTGAGTCTCTGAACAATATCTGGGTCTGGATGAGTGTTGGCACTGCTCCCATCAAGGGATATTTCTGTGAGAGTACCGAGGATCTTTACTTCCAACTATTGGGCACAGACTTTATCAGGCCATAGCAATGAAAAGCTGCCATGTGGCACAAATCCCACAGGTTCTTCCTAGTTCAGAAACGGGGATTTGGCGACCTGTGATTAAGCTTTATGTTGTCATCTGTCACTCTGCTTCATTGTTGAAGAATATTTCTAGCTATGAAGACTGTCATGTTGGACTGTCTGATCCACCAAAGTTCTTGATGTAGTCAGGGTTTATACAGATTATGAGCTATAGAGTCCCCATGTCTCAAACACAGTAAATATTTACTGACATGGACAGAGCCTGGACCACTGAAGGCTGCCAGCCAATTTCAAAGACTGTGGTTGATACTAAACTGAAGTACACACTAGTGTGCTTATGCACACGAGAGGATTTGAGCCAGTAAAGACCTAAGTCTACCCAAGGAACTGACATAAGTTTAACTCTCAGGTCACACACACTCTGTCTTCCTTGACCCACCTGACATGACCTTGAATAGTCTAAAATTTGACTCTGAAATCACTTCCTTTGAAACATTATTTGGCACCCTTCTGGGATCATTTTGGATCCATTATTTCTCATTGGATGCTGTTATTTTGTTTGAGTGATTATCCCACCTCGTGCCCAAATATAGAGGGCTATCAATGTTTTGAATTATATAATAAAATTTACTAAGTTCATTGCAAGATTTTATACATTTGAGGACTTGCTATATAATATTAATTGTTTAGCCTGAAACATGATAGTTTACCTGAGCTGTTTTCTAAATGAGTGTCCCTGCATGACAGGGATCAGACAACAGTGCAGAGCAAGGGAAATGTCACTTTTAGGGTGATACCCTCTGAATGTTTCCAAGGAAAACTAATTTATCACTGGGAACCTGATCCCACCTCCCCACATTGCAGATTCAATGATTCAAAATTGAATATATAATGAGAACAAATGGACAAGGCAGTACCTCTGATTAACTAATGATCTTTTATTGAATATTCAGTGGGTAAAAGAGAAGCCTGGATTCCCTAGTATAGAGAAGAGACTCCATTCTGGGTCCCCTAGCTCCACACTTCCCAGGCTCAGGAGAAGTCTGGGCTCCTAGCTACATTGTGCAGGGGACAAACTCTGCTCCAAAACATCCCCTTCATGAGAAACTTTGCAGGAAACGCTCTTGTAAGATCTCCACTGGTCTGCTGTCAAACTTAGATAGCTGCTGGCCATGTAGTTTTTGTTTTCTTTGGTGGATTTTGTAGTCTGCACACCCTGGGTGATAGGCACACCATCTGCTGCCCAAGCCACTGTTATAGTACGCGGGGAGAAGTCGTTGATCAGACACACCAGTGTGGCTTTGTTTGTCTGGAGCTCCTCAGGTGAAGGTGGAAACACCGTGATTTTGGGAGAAGATTTGGGCTGACCTGTGTGAATAAAAGAGGGGAATTATTTTTCACTGACTAGTCTGATCCGTACAAAGAAGATCTGAGGCTACTCTAGGATTTTAGCGACTCCTGCTTAGTTTGACCTGACCACTATATCCGTTACCCTGGCCATGTTCTGTAGGCTTTTTCTCCTCGGATGCAAGAGCATAACAGTCACTTGCTCACAGAAACAGTTTCCTTCCCTGAAGGTCAGAAAGTATTCTGAAACCCCCAGTTTGTCCCTCATTCCTGACCTCCAAAATTTTATATGCCATTTAAAGAATCTGACAATTTAAAAAAAAGAATCTGACAATGGAAACACAAGGCAGCATAACCCAGGATTAAGGGACTTTATAGACAGAATCCCAGATAATCTTGAGGTGACCAGGATTTGGTTACCCTGCTAATAAATACTGTCTCTGTGTCTATAGGACCTCAGTAGCTCAGTAAATGGTCAGATAACTGAAGACAATTACAAAATTACTCCTTCACTATGCTTGCGTGTTTCCCACTTTGTTAATCTAAGACCCTGGGAAGCTGCCCTTACATATCTAGATCCAACCCTTCAAACCCTAAGAAGATATTGTGGGCTCTGACAAAGTCCTAGTGCCCGTTCTTTGACCCAGTCCATGATTTCCAATGATTAATCTGTCTGAGAACAAGAATATAGCCCTTGACTCTGATCAGACCCTAAGTGAAGCCCATGAGATCACAACATATTTATTAGAATCTGAGGCCATCTGCTTCTGATCTGCTGGCCCTTCCTTCTGATTTCTCCTAATTGCCCATCTTCCCTAGTCACCATGAAGAAGGCTAAGGATTCAGTCCTTAAGTTAGGGGAGTGAAGATGAGAAGTTCTCAGAGAGAAAAAAACAGATCCTTCTAAGACAACACATGCTGGGCTGAATAGGAAGGAGAATTAAAGCCACTTACCTAGGACAGTGAGCTGGGTTCCGCCGCCGAAAACATACCACAGTGACTGAGACTCAAACCAAAACCTGTGGGGCCAGCACCTGGGCCTGTTCTCTGGCAGCTGGGCTGGGTCAAAACATTAGCTGGCTCTAATGGGTGGAGCTGTGACCTCACTTGAGGATAGGTGGATGGTAATCCTTCCAAATGCTTGTGTTCTTCTCAGGCAGGGACTCCCATGGAGTTGCTTCCACACCATGTGTACCTGATATTACCAATCATGACAGCAATATAGAAGATCACAAAGAAATCTTGAGTGGAACATTATTTCAGGTGACTTTGTTGAGTGACATAAAGTCCAGTTGTTTTAGCCTTATTTTACAGACTGAGATGCAGTTCCTCACGAATTTGTATAGTCCCAATTAGTCACCTTCTTTGGAACCAAGGACACAGGACCACTCTTGCCTTATGAAACTTCCCCAGAGAGAATTTCCTTCGATTTTCTACTTACAGAGATATAGCTCATGTGCACTTCATTCTTATGTGGTTTCTCAGAATACAGGATCTGTTCACCATTCTATTTATCCTTACACACACATACACACCTATCTTTGTATATACATACACCCAAGAACCCAAAGAATGACTACAAAGCACATTCTATTTGTTTTTTTTTTTTTTTTTTTTTTGGAACATGAGTAGGCTACTCTGACTGTCACCTTCATAGTTTCCTAGAACTTCTTGCACAAAAGACAAAAATAACCTACTCTCAAACAATTCTATAGTTCAACACCGTCTCTTGTGTCTCAAAGAACCCTTTCTTTCCCATCATTTTCCTCTACTTTGTTTTTGAAACTTCCAACATTCTATTATCTTTCCTTTCCCTTTGATCAGCACACACTGTTCATTCTAAGACTATCATCAGCGTAGTGCCTGCCCTGTCCTCTTTGTTATTACTGAATATGACTTGCATTGTGCACTATGCAAAGCCACCCAGAAATCTGTGATTGTCCTATTCTTTCTTTTTGCTACTAATTCAGAAATATTATTTCTTCATGAATGTTCTATAGGAACCTTTTTTTTTTCAGGTGGAAGAACAGCAAGCTTTACTTTGCCAAGAGCTAAAGCCTTTTTTATTTTATTTTTTTTAGTTGTTGCAAAAAAAAAAATTCCACCTCCTCCCCGTTTCCCATTTACTTCCCCCTCCTCGCACACATCGCCCCCTCCCCCCACTCCCCTATCCCCCCCCCACTCCATTCCCCCTCCCTCTCGAGAATAAAGAGCAGTCCAGATTCCCTGCCCTGCGGAAGGTCCAAGGTCCTCCCACTTCTATCCAGGACCAGGAAGGTGAGTTGATTCAATGAGATGAAAATATTCCTGGATGACTTCCATTTGGATGCTCTATAGGAACCTTAAATTCAATATTTCCCAACCAAATATTTCCCTGAAAATTGATCCTTTGTAATGCCCTTTTGGCAATTTCTTTCTAGTATAGAGCTGGAAGTCATCCTGGAATATTTTCATCTCATTGAATCAACATAATTTTTGTTAGCCTACACAGTACAACATGCCACTAAAATATTCAAAACACAATGACTAACACCCAGCTCACATCAAAGACTCACGTTGACAAGAATCCTTAGGTTTTGTTGAAATTAATAAAAAAACTTCATGAATATGTATGCTTATGGGCTTTCTCTGTGTAAATTTAGTGCCCTTAGAGACCAGAAGAAGGTGTCAGATATTCTGGAGCTAGGATTATTGGCCATTGTTATACACCCCAGTGTGGCTCCTGGAAACTAAACTTGGATCTTCTGTCAGAGTAGTACACTTCCTTAATCACTGAGCCATCTCTTCAGCTCTCCAAGATTATTACTTTACAATAGAAGATTATTCAGTGTGTTGAGGCTGCCATTTTATTTTTTTTCCTTCTTGTCCTCTACTGTCAACTCCATCAACGTGACAATTGCCACTGGTTAAAGACTGGTACATACATAAGGTATTTTTAAATATATTACCAGCATAAACCTAACCCTTGTTTCTTAGTAAGAAAAGCAAGCATTCTTCCTTTAATATTGGAAGGAAACTTTCCCAGTCAGTAATTCTTTTAAAAATTACATATTTTTATCCATACTTAAGGTATAACATTTGAGTCAAAAACAAGGATAAACTTCAAGTTATTCTTTCATCATTTACAATAGGTCACAGATTCTGGATAGTCAGATCTACTGAAATAGGCTTGGGGATACAAATTTTTGGTAAAATTCTAGTCAATCAACAGAGAAACCTGAAGGAATGAGTTAAGGAGTCATTGAACTAACATGAGAAGGAAGTGACTGAATGCAAAAGCAACTTATAAAGTCTACACAATTTTCTGATATATAAGTGACCATAATTTAGACACCACAAAGGGATCCATTTATGACTCAATAACATTATAGAAAATGCTCCAGAAATAAACAACATAGAATGTCATATAAACATGTTTTGCATTGTGACTAAACTACTTGGCTTTTTAACTTAGAGGTGAGTTATCAGAGTATAATCTTGTTCCTTGATGAAAATGCTGAGTATTGTCAGATAATTTTCTTTTTAAATTAATTATATACTGCATCAAAATTGCAGTCATCACAAAAAAGTGGACTTCTTGAGAAACAGGGAGTTAATTATAAATCAAGCAGTAAGAGCAAGGGAGAATAGGAAAGACTGGTTGGTACATGGTCCAACAAGACAGTGTTGGTCCTGATTAAATGAAGAAGGGTATAGGAGAGAAAAGTATGATATGAAGGGACATCTAACATTATAGACCTTCTGAAACATCATCTGGAAACATACTTCTAAAGAAGTTCCATAAAATATGCACATATATGAAAGGAATTTAAATAGTTATCAGGTATTGTGGTGGTGGGGATAAGACAGCGTCCAAACTAGATATAGTATGCCTCAGAGTAAAATTCCCTGTACTAGTAATTTACTATATTTTGTTGAATCATTGGTGAAAGACCTCCTATCCCCTCTGCAACATTTCAGGTTTTTGCCAAAGCTATTGGTTCTTCTCTATAACCTGATGGTAAACTTTTATCACTGAAGTCAATGATATCTTATGTCATTGAACACAAGAAAGTTGAGTTGGTGCTTCATCTCTATTGATTAGCACTCTTTATATTGGAAGGTATGCTGCAAGATACCAGGGGAAAAAGATAATCACCAACATAACTTAATTACAAACAATATGGCATACAACAGCAACCTGCTTGTGATATATACTGATGCTATAGAGGTCCAGATGCTATGGTAATACCAACTATCCTGGTTCGACTTAGCACTTACTCAATGAGATGAAATTCATATCTGGAATTACAAAGTGGCCAAGATCCTGAGGTTACATAGGTCATGAGTCTAGGGGAAAATCTACTAGTATTATTTTGTTAAAGGAACAACAATAAGAAGAAGTCTTTGCAATTGATAACTACTGGCAAAGAGAAAATGAGCTTTCTCTAAGGGAGTGACAGTGAGTATATCATTCACCCACAAAGCAAGCCCCAGCAGCAGAATGTGGCATAAAGTTAACATCTATTAAAGTTCTTTTATTATTATTGAAACATAATTATAACAGTTCATTAAAATTACATTTCTGAAAAATCTGGAAACATCAGAAAATCTGTTCAAAATTACAACTGTAGTGCACTGAATAATTCTAATTTCATTCTTTTCATTATTTAAATATATTTTAATGATATTCTTTCCCCTACCCCAAATATTCTCAGATCCTCCCCACATCCTTACCTACCCAATTTTACGTTATTTTCTGCTTAAGAAAAAATACAAAAACAAAAGCAAGCAAATAAACCATTAAGGCAAAAATACTACAACAAAAAAGCATACAAAAACCATGAAGTCCATTTTGTGTTGACCAGTGGTTTTTGTATTTTGTTATTACTGTCATTAATAATAATGTTAAGCTCACCCTTCCTGCTTATACACATTTGGTTACAGTTTTCATTATGGTCCCTGCTTAAGAATAATTTGTAGAGTGGAATTGTACCATGAAGATATCAACATGTATTTTAAAACTCACTGCTATTCCTGAAATTGCTGTGAATTTATATTCTCTAGACATTCCTTAAGATTGCAAATTTCTTCCATGAAGTTCTGGTAATTCTTACTTTAAATCTGAACACTTTAATTCTCCCTCCTTAGGGATCTTGGACTTGGGATATTATAAGTGTTCCTTCCCATCTCCAGGCTGTGTTCTAGGCATAGTGTCTGTTCATTGACTTCTTTGGTCTCTACCTCTATCCTTGGTATGGGAGTTCCTTCTCTTTGTGTGCTGCTTTCATTGGTTAATGAATAAAGAAACTGCCTTGGCATAGCTGATAGGGTAGAACTTAGGTAGGCGGAGAAGACAGAACTGAATACTGGGAGGAAGAAAGCAGAGTCAGAGAGATGCCATGGATCCACAGCTGGAGGTAGATGTGCTGAAACTTTTCTGGTAGGCCACCACCTCATGGTGATACATAGATTGATAGAAATGGGTTAAACTAATATGTAAGAGTTAGCCAATAAGAAGTTAAAGCTAATGGCCAAGTAGTGTTTTAATTAATACAGTTTCTGTGTGGTTATTTCGGATGTAAGCTAGCCGGGCGGCCGGGACAAACAAGCCGCCCCTCCTTGCAACACGTTCTCAAATACGACCTTATAGTTTGCTATTGGAACCACCTTTTCTAAGACACAATTCAATTTTGCTGGTCTCCTGTTGTACTGGGTGGTTTTGTGTCAACTTGACACCAGGTTGAGTCATCAGAAAGGAAGGAACCTCAGTTGAGAAAATGCCTGTATGTTGTAGGGCATTTTCTCAATTAGTAATAAATGTGGGGGGATCCAGCCCATTGTGGGTGGAGCCTTCCTTGGAGTGGAGAGCCTAGGTTCTGAAAGAAAGCAGGCTGAGCAAGTCATGGGAAGTAAACCAGTAAACAGACCCCTCCATGGCCTCTGTATCAACTCCTGCCTCCAGCATCCTGCACTTTTGAGTTCCTGTCTGACTTACTTCAGTGATGAATAG